AATATTAAACTTCCAATCTGATTTTTGAAGTTTAAAAACTTAAAGTATGATTTTGTGTAATTTCCTCTTTTTTTATTGGTCCGTGGCCCCCCTCTTGTGAGGGGGCTGTACAGTCAATCCGGTGTACAAATAGCATTTCCATAAATAATCCTCATTGGCTGAATCCTAATCCTCTCTGTCATTCTACTGTCTGTGTATTCCGTCTTCCAGAATTTTCCTCTGAACTCTGTTCGTCTTCTCCTTTAATTTTTGGTGTTATATATTTGATGTTCGTCTGTGATCTCTAGTAAGGATAAACGTTCTGGTGGTCACATCTCCAGACCACCACTCTGGTTTAAATTTTGCTGAACTTTAACTCCATAATTCCTTGTTAGATTGGTATATTTCTTGAACTTCTGTTGCTGAATATTGAGTTTTAATTCAGTGCATGTATATTTTTGTCCCTTATTCTTGTGTTATTCTGACATTGTGTTACTGATTACACTTGTACTCAAGTTGAGCCTTGACCTGAGAGCAAGAGTCTCATGGAATCTTGGTGAACTTGGGTATTGGGTTGCTTTTTAACCTACTGCGATAACTTGGGCATTCTCTACTAATACTGTTGTTGGTATATTGAAGTGTTGATGCTTGTGATCAACTGTGTTCTGATACTTAGCATTCTTGGAGTGATCTTGAAACCTTTTTTATTTTTTTAAACTCTAACCTAAAACTCCTCTGCTTGTAGTCACTGTTGGCTATCCTCATATTTATTTTAACTTAGTGTGTTGTTTTCTTGACATAGGAAATTGATTTTAAAGGGAACAGTGAGATACAATGACTACCACCACTTTGTATTTTTAATGAAAAGGGGCAACAAAAAATGAGGGGTGTTTTTGATGGGAAAAATAGCCTCGAACGCAGGAATTGAGATTAATGACGAATTGAAATAATAAAGATCACGAGAAAAATAACAAGATTAAAGTAAAGAAAATAGAGAAGAAATTGGCAGAGGAATCGATGTTTTATTCAACAATATGGAGAGAAATTACAAAACTTAGCAATATTGGCTTCTCTTGTCTCTAAAACTGAATGAAGAGTCTACTATTTATAGGGAAGATGTCCAAACCCAAGATGGAAACGAAATAAAAGAAAATCACGTGAAATAAAGGAAAAATATTTTCTCAATATTTTTCCAATAAAACACGTGAAATAATGGAAATAATATTTTTCCAAATACGCGCAAAGAAGGAAAAATATATTTCCAAATATTCCAACATAATTTGGGTTTTTCACATATGGTAACCCTAATTTGGGTCACCAATTCCAACAATCTCCACCTTGACCCAAATTCCGGTGCAATAAACAAAACTTCAAAATTTCTCCACCTAAGAAATGACTCCGTCTGCATCGAAATGACCAACCTCCTCAAGCAGTAATCAAAACTCTCCATCACACAAAAACATCTTCCTCTGCCCGGCATCCACAAGCGACACCCGAACCCTAAACCCGGATTCCCAAAATTCCAACAAAGAATTGATTATTGACCAAACAGGGTCGAAGCACTCCCTGTAGCAGAATCTACTCCAGATGCATGATCAGAAGGCCCTTTACTAGAACTGTCACCTTCAACGATCCCAAATGCATTGCAGACATCTCCAACACTGTACCTACGCTCCATGAGTCCAACACTAGTATGTGAACACAGTGAATCCGCTGTAATTGGTGGCAAAGCGAAATCACCAACGCTCCCCTGAGCAATGTTCTGAACTGACCCAGAGTCTGTCACAAGAGGTACTGTACCAAATTGAATTTCCACCACGGTACTGAACTTGTCCAAATGTCTCTTAACTGGTTCTGCGCTCCCCTGCAAGATGTACAAATGAGACTTCATCCGTCCCTCCAGTACAACCTGAGCACCCTTTCGGACCTTCAATGCTCCACCTCCACCAGAGAATTTATACCCCTTTGCATCCAGGGTACTTAGCGAGATGAGATTCCTTTTCAAGTCTGGAACATGACGAACCTGATCAAGTGTTCTGATTGTCCCATCCTGCAACCTCAATCTGACCCGACCAATTCCAGCAACCCGGCAAGACTGGTTGTTTCCCATGACAACTCCACCTTGCTTTACCGCCTCATATGTTTGAAACAAGTCCCGATTGGGACACACATGGTGCGAACATGCCGAATCAAGAATCCACTCCTCGTCAGGCTTGGACTCCACGTCAGATACCACGGTCACCATCACATCACCGCCATCAGATAAATACTCGGTAATATTAGCATCATCCGAATTAGAAGATTGCCCCCTATTATTTGCAACTAAATTACCTTTAGCCTGCAACTTGTCGCAATCCCTCTTGACATGCCCTTTCTTCTTGCAGTAGAAGCAATACACATTGCTGAAGTTCACTTTCGGTCTACCCCTCCGTCGATCACCATGAGAAACCAGAGCGTCCCCATCACTTGATGTAGTAGCTCCAACCAAATGCTTCATCTTCTCCTTTGAGAATAAAGCATCGTAAGTGTCTTCAATGGTCAACGTGTCACGACTGTACAAGATCGTGTCCCGAAACGACGAATAAGAAGTGGGTAGAGAACACAACAGGATCAAGGCCAGATCCTCCACATCATATTTTACCTCCAACGTTTCCAGATCTGCAACAATTTCCTTGAACACAGCCAGGTGGTCTTCCAGTGATCCTCCTTCTGCCATGCGATGAGAATACAGCCTTTGCTTTAGATGCAGTTTGCTCGTGAGACTTTTGGTCATGCATAACTGCTCCAGTTTCAACCACAAAGCAGCCGCCGTTTTCTCTTTCAAGACATCCTGCAGAATATTATTGGAGAGATGAAGATGAATCTGCGATAAAGCCTTCCTGTCTTTCCGTTGTTTCTCCTCCGTTGTCCAGTTTGCTGGCATTTTATCAAAACCCAGCAGAGCATCATCCAAATCCATCTGCGCCAACACAGCCCTCATCTTTACTTGCCATAGCGAAAACCTTGTATTGCGATCCAGCAGCGGAATATCATATTTCAATGAAGTCATCTCTGAAAAATCTCAATCAAATCACAAAGAACCTGCAACCTTGGCTCTGATACCACTTGTTGGGAAAAATCGCCTCGAACGCAGGAATTGAGATTAATGACGAATTGAAATAATAAAGATCACAAGAAAAATAACAAGATTAAAGTAAAGAAAATAGAGGAGAAATTGGCAGAGGAATCGATGTTTTATTCAACAATATGGAGAGAAATTACAAAACTTAGCAATATTGGCTTCTCTTGTCTCTAAAACTGAATGAAGAGTCTACTATTTATAGGGAAGATGTCCAAACCCAAGATGGAAACAAAATAAAAGAAAATCACGTGAAATAAAGGAAAAATATTTTCTCAATATTTTTCCAATAAAACACGTGAAATAATGGAAATAATATTTTTCCAAATACGCGCAAAGAAGGAAAAATATATTTCCAAATATTCCAACATAATTTGGGTTTTTCACATATGGTAACCCTAATTTGGGTCACCAATTCCAACAATTTCCACCTTGACCCAAATTCCGGTGCAATAAACAAAACTTCAAAATTTCTCCACCTGAGAAATGACTCCGTCTGCATCGAAATGACCAACCTCCTCAAGCAGTAATCAAAACTCTCCATCACACAAAAACATCTTCCTCTGCCCGGCATCCACAAGCGACACCCGAACCCTAAACCCGGATTCCCAAAATTCCAACAAAGAATTGATTATTGACCAAACAGGGTCGAAGCACTCCCTGTAGCAGAATCTACTCCAGATGCATGATCAGAAGGCCCTTTACTAGAACTGTCACCTTCAACGATCCCAAATGCATTGCAGACATCTCCAACACTGTACCTACGCTCCATGAGTCCAACACTAGTATGTGAACACAGTGAATCCGCTGTAATTGGTGGCAAAGCGAAATCACCAACGCTCCCCTGAGCAATGTTCTGAACTGACCCAGAGTCTGTCACAAGAGGTACTGTACCAAATTGAATTTCCACCACGGTACTGAACTTGTCCAAATGTCTCTTAGCTGGTTCTGCGCTCCCCTGCAAGATGTACAAATGAGACTTCATCCGTCCCTCCAGTACAACCTGAGCACCCTTTCGGACCTTCAATGCTCCACCTCCACCAGAGAATTTATACCCCTTTGCATCCAGGGTACTTAGCGAGATGAGATTCCTTTTCAAGTCTGGAACATGACGAACCTGATCAAGTGTTCTGATTGTCCCATCCTGCAACCTCAATCTGACCCGACCAATTCCAGCAACCCGGCAAGACTGGTTGTTTCCCATGACAACTCCACCTTGCTTTACCGCCTCATATGTTTGAAACAAGTCCCGATTGGGACACACATGGTGCGAACATGCCGAATCAAGAATCCACTCCTCGTCAGGCTTGGACTCCACGTCAGATACCACGGTCACCATCACATCACCGCCATCAGATAAATACTCGGTAATATTAGCATCATCCGAATTAGAAGATTGCCCCCTATTATTTGCAACTAAATTACCTTTAGCCTGCAACTTGTCGCAATCCCTCTTGACATGCCCTTTCTTCTTGCAGTAGAAGCAATACACATTGCTGAAGTTCACTTTCGGTCTACCCCTCCGTCGATCACCATGAGAAACCAGAGCGTCCCCATCACTTGATGTAGTAGCTCCAACCAAATGCTTCATCTTCTCCTTTGAGAATAAAGCATCGTAAGCGTCTTCAATGGTCAACGTGTCACGACTGTACAAGATCGTGTCCCGAAACGACGAATAAGAAGTGGGTAGAGAACACAACAGGATCAAGGCCAGATCCTCCACATCATATTTTACCTCCAACGTTTCCAGATCTGCAACAATTT